TTGATTTGGGGAAAACATCCTCCCCAATCGACATTCGACTCCGGTCACCAGTCCCCAGTCTGGTCATTCCTCATACGCCGTGTGGGCGGAAGACTCGTGGCTGTCAATTGCTGCCGGCTCTCGGGGCGTATGATTGACAGAATCGCCCTCCTTCAGCCTCCCGCGCAGCAATCACAACAGATTCAATGATTAGCTCACTCGAGTGAACCTCTCCCGTCCATTGACTCCACTCATACTGGGGAGCTTCATTTAATATGTTTGGACGTTGATAAATTCCCCGAATCGTCTGTTACGCAGGGGCTTGTTGCTCCTCGACTTGGCACAACAGATGTCCCATTTGTTGCAAATAACTATTGCCTCATTCCATTATTATTAGAACCATCCTTGATGGCAATCATCCAAGGATCATTTAGAAACAACTAGCTATGGTTGATTGATTCGAATCCTTAACAAACAAGGCCTTGGATACACTCTAGAGTTTATTGGTTTTAAATCAGTTTATTAATTAGTTTTAAATCAGTTATATTTATAATGTATACATATATATTTTTTACAGTTCGTAAAGCTAGCTCGAAAATGTTTTTTGTTTTCGTTTTTTAATTTTCCACTATCCTTAAATCTTTTCACCATTTTACTAAGTTGAATTATACGTGTCTTGGATGTTCAGAAATGTTAGTTTTCGCCAACTCTCTCATATTTAGCTTCTAGTACAAGGTTTAAACTTGAAACGCGGCCTATCGCGACTGTCTTAAAATACCATAAAAACAAAGGACTCTAGGAAGGTAGGAAGGATAACAACAATTGTAGCTAACATATAACGAAAGTGAACTAAAGCCGGTGAATATATAGGGGGCCAAAAGCCAGGTTCAAAGTGGTGTGCATCCAAAGTGATCCATAGCTGAGACCGGGAATCATATTGGGAAGATAGCAGCAGGAGCAGCTCCTCGTCGAACGAGCACAACACGAATAGTAGAGCACATCCTCATCCTCCTTGTCGGGTTGAAATAAAAATCTTGAAACATAAAACGAATAATCTAAAAATAATTAATTTTCGTTTCAATTATAACAGAGTTATCCCCTAGAATCAAAATAGGATAGGATTAGGATGTGGAGGTGCAAGCCAATTGAAGACTTATATTTCTACTTTAGAAAGTTACGGAAATAAGAATATAATATATAAAGTTACAGAATTTTAATTTTTGAACGGCTAGAAAATATTTTCATAAATTCAAGTAGTCTAAGATTTATAAAATATTTCCACTAATTAACCAAACGATCAAAATTTAAATAATAAGAATTCTCTTCCCACAGCACAGCCATTCGCACCTGATCTCGTTACAGGAGCTCGCCAAAGTCCTGAGCCTCCAGTTGCCGTTCCCGTTCTCGTTCTCGATCCCTTTCCCGTTCTCGGTCTCGATCTCGATCTCGATCCAGTTCCCGCTCCATTTCCATCTCCTGGTTCTCTTTCTCTTCGCGCGCTGCCCGCTGTTGCTTCTCCTCCTCCTCCTGCTGCTGCTGCTTCTTCCGGTGTTCATAGTTGACCAGCCGCTGGCCCACCAAATACTTGTCCACCTTAATGGAAAGGTAGAGCTTCTTGAGCTGCTTAATCTGGAACAGCACAAAGCAGATGCTGCCCACAACGATGAAGCAGACGGGATAGACCAGTCGGGTAATGACGTGGCGAGTGTAGGGGTCGGCGAAGCACATCGGCCCCACCATATGGGCCAGGACATAGGGGGCGGCCAGAGCAAGGCCAAAAGTAGTGACCACGGGCACGGCCAGATCACTCATAACAAACTTCAAATCAAAGTCACGCAATCCGTCCATGTAGGCTCTCTCCAGAGCCCGTTTCATGTGCCAATCCGGACCCATGAGGGTCAGAGCGATAGCTATCTTGCTGTAGAGGACGCCAAGAGCCCAGTCCTGCCACAGAAAGTGTATGGGTGTCTTGCGCAGGGGCACTCGCAGAGGAATCACCACCAGAAGTTCCAGAAGTAGGCCAAACAGCAGGGGTACCAGCACAAATATTCCTATAAGGGTAACAACAGGCACGGCGTACTGCAGTGTCACACGCGCCCATTGCTTCATTTTGTTGACAATAGCCGTGCGTCCTTGTGGCAGAAGGGTCACCACGACGGCTATTCCCCGGCACACAATCCAGCACAAATAGCCGCCAATCTCTGCGGTGTAGAGCTCGTGCGATCGCAGAAGTCGCTCGTTCTTTCTAGCAGCTTCCGGGTCAGCAGCTGCTCCTGCTACTGCAGCGGCTCCTGCAGCTCCCGCCGCCGCCGCCGGGGCAGCTGCCTTATCTATTAGCGGATGCGTCCAGATCATCATTAGCCTCCTGCCGATATAAACTGGAATCGTTAGGGTCACCATGGCGGCGCAAACAATGGACAAGCACATCATCAGGAGCAGGGCGCACAAGCGGAAGGCGAACAGGGAGGGTTTATCGTACGGCTGAAAGCCAACGGGAGCATCGCGTTGCATAATGGCCTGATGTGCGGCGGCAAGGTTCCGGGGAGCAGGAGCCGGAGCCGGTTCGGCAGGTGGTGGGGGAGGAGGTGGAGGAAGAAGTGGCTGCGCTGCGGCGCCCTCCTGGCCCTCTTGATTTGCGTTCTCGCCGGCCGCAGCCTCCACTCCCTCTTCGGCAGCGGCTGTAGCTGCGGGATCTGGTGCCGGCAGCAAATAACTACGGATGCCCAGGAGCCAAGCCACGGCTGTGCACCAGATTCGCAGCAGTCCCTTGAGCCATATGCGCGTCTGGGTCTGTTCAAAGAAGCCCGGCAAGACGATCTACAAGAAGGTATGGGGAAAGTCATTACAAGCTGATGTCGGAGGACATATGGGAAAAAGCTTACCTGTAAAAGCAGTAGCTGCAGACTGAGATCATTGACCTCGGCATCACCACTTAGGGCATAGGGCAAGAAATTGGGCCAAGCCACCTGTAGAATGCGGATGGGCAGCCAGAGCATGAGAAGGACCGCAAAACCAAAGATCATGGCAGATGCGACCAAGCGCCGAATGTGCCTAACAATCGGGACGTGGATCATTTCCTGGATGGGGCTAAAGTCCGGGTCGTTGACATTGCGGAAGATCCAGAGCACTCCCGGGCGGAGTACCTCACGCAGCAGCGATATGAAGGCGGCGAAATAGTAGACATAGACCATGCCAAACATCCAGTGGACGAACAGCGAGGTACCCGGGGCCGCCTTGAAGCTTGCCTTGCGATCCTTCAAACTGGCATCGAGGAGAGGCAGCGAACAGATGTCCAGCCACCAGCCGCAGATGAGGGGCAGCACTCCGATCTCCACCACGGACAAGAGCGACACCTTCACCACTATGTAGCACAGCCCGATGAACCAGCACACTTTTCTTAGTCGGAACACTCTGGCGAAGAAGTGCAGCACCACCAGCGTCAATCCGATGCAGCAGTAGCCAAATAAGGTCGTAATCAGACCGTGGAAGTGAAGCAGCGGCTTCTCGGGCTGCAATAGGTCCATTGAGCTGAGAATGAAGTTTCCCACGCAATAGGGGCAAAAGGCAAATGTAAATATGAACATAGTGTTTAGTGAAATTATCCAAAAGACGTGCTCTAGAAACACCAGGGACCCGTCCAGTCCCAAGAGCCGTTCCCAGGTCAACTCCTCGGCTGCACGATCCCACTCCATGGGATTCCAATTCTGCTCGTCAGCGTCAGCATCCACGGCAGCGGGGGCTGGAGCCGCAGCAGCGACTTCATCTTGTCCCAAGTCGTTGTCCGCCTGAGCAGGGGCCCCGTTGTCCATGGGCAAGTCCTGAGGAGCTTCTCCGTTGTTGTTGTCATCCTGCGCGGCAGCCACGTCGGCGGCAGCTGCTGGTGCCGCAGCCGGAACAGGAGCAGGCTGCAGTGGAGCATCGTCTCGCTCCAGCCAGTCCGGACCACCACCGTGCAAGATCTGCTCTCGGAGCCAGACAAGTCCAATGAAGGACAACAGGGTACAACTCACGACGAAGCATCCTCGAAAAGCATCCGTCGCCAGATTCTCCATTGAAAAAATATCGAACGGCAGCGTGAGGATCATGTCAAAGGAGCTGGCCCGGAACAAGTAGCGGTAGGTTCTATACGCCGATAGGGGGACCACTCCGAACCAGGCTAGGCCCACCAGGGAGTAGTGCAGCCAGCAGCGGGCACCCTCTATGACGGCAGACATCAGTCCAACGAGCACATCCTTCAGCGGCAGGACTCGCGGCATGTCGGGGGCGTAGATGGGTTGGAAGCTGAAGCGGTGGCCACATAATTCACAGTACTCCTTGTGCGAGTAGCGCATCCACTGCATTAGGCAGTCCTGATGAATGTATTTAATGGATCCCGTGCAGATGCACGGATAGAATAGTGGTCTGTCCGGCTGCGCCTCGCAGCGACAGACGCGACAAATGTCGCCTTGCGACAAGTCATCCATCCTGCCACTTTCCTCCTAATCCCAATCCTTTAATTCAGTTTTGCCCACTGGCCGATAGTTCCGTTGGCCATTTGCGTAGTTCCAAGGCAATTTGTGAATTGGCCCGCGCTCTGATGCTCTCAATAGCCTTGGTGCTGTGCCCAATCGTAAGTTGAAATGGCTAAGTGTCCCTGAAGCGGATCTTACACTTAAATTTAACTAATTTCTCGTGATGTTATTACGACAAAACAAAAGTTTTAGACAAATAGTTCAGTGCGTACACACCGTCGTATTGGGGAAAAAAAAACTCCAACAGTTAGAGCTGGCACCAAATGGTGGCAAAACCATTTAAAAGTCACGAGATTTATTTTGACCAGAATTACTAGTGGCAACTAAAGCTGCGCAACCAAAGCAGTACCAAATATTTTTTACAATAAAACTATAAATATATATATATATATTTTTTAAATTCACAATGGTTTATTTTCTTTATATATGGTTTAAGTTCAGACAATACCGTGACTAGGAAGTAGCAGTCCTATCGGACCAGTGTGACCTCTTCCGCTAAAAATGTACCACCACTAACAATCACGTTTTGTTTTTGTACGTCCCTTGTCACTATTTTGCAATCATTCAATTACGTTTTTGCACCGAAAAATAAGCAACCACAAGAATGCAGCGACAAATGATTAATATCCTGGGACAGACAGGGCGCCGCATGATGCTGGGACAACAGCTTCGCCCGTTGTCAGTGTCCGCCCAACGCAGAGAGATCTTCAAAGTGCAGAGTGCCGAGGACTTTGACAAGAAGGTGAAGAACAGCCAGCAGCCCGTCATTGTTGACTTCTTTGCAACGTAAGTAATTATCCAATAATGCCGGAACGATCCTTACTTTTCCAATCAATAGGTGGTGCAACCCCTGCAAGCTACTGACCCCGCGTATCGAGAACATTGTCGGGGAACAGGCCGGCTCCATAAAATTAGCAAAAGTAGACATTGACGAGCACAGTGAACTGGCTCTGGACTACGATGTTGCTGCCGTTCCAGTCCTGGTGGTGATGCAAAACGGCAAGGAGGTGCAGCGCATGGTGGGTCTCCAGGACGAGGACAAAATCCGTGCCTGGGTCGCCGCCGCCGTTAAGCAGTCGAAGTAATAGTTCGTTACCCCATGAAAGCCTTTGAAAATATGTAGAAAATATATACCCACAAATGAAGCCAAGCTTTAAGTTAATTCGGACTTTCGAAATAAATGTTTATGTTGCCACAAAAAATATAAACTACGCCTATGTTAAATAGTCTAAATGGAGAACCAGCCGGGCGTGCCGGGCCGTTTCTTGTTTCTGTCTAGGAACTGTCGGAATCCCTTTTTAGACTCGTCCAGGGACTTCTCCTCCTGGGCCTGTTTCTCTGCCTTCTCGGCAAACATTTCAGGGAAGACGAAAGACTCCTCCCGTGGCTGGAAATGGGTTACGTTAATAGAATCTTCCTAAACTTCCATCCAATGCTCTCACCAGTGTTACATAAGCTATTTTGACATCGTCTTTCTTGGTCACATAGCCATATGTCTGATCCCTCTTGGTCTCCCCGAGGGCAATACGAGTGCGCACATCCACCACCGGCAGCTTGTAGATCTTCTCTAGGTAGTTTCTCACATCGTACTTGGTCATTTCCATCGACACCGAAAAAGTGACAACATTTGGCGGCTGCTCCTCCTTGGGCCGGATGATCTTCATCCAAAAGTTGGGCAGGAAGACGCGCAACTGGGGGTTACCCCTCTGGTAAATGGGATACCATCTGGTGGACATGGCTGTCTTAAATGCACGTTTTCAGTTAAGATTTTAAAAAACCAAAATATGTTGTTAGTTTTAAAAAGGGACTAAAAAATACCAAATGGGCTTAGGGCAGCATGGGCGGACAGGGGGGCTTATGAAGTCATTTATTCAATAAATCAATAGCTTATAGATCAAATTAAAATAATTTGTAGGAAAATTATAGCATTTTTAATGAAAATTAGTAATTAAAATAATTGTTATTAATTAATTCTTCTTCCACTCTTCCCTCACGCGCCCATCTCTAGCCGAAACACCATGTGTCCTATCACAACAATTCCCAATGCGAGTTTTATGAAAACATTAGCCAGAACTCCTACTGATAATGGGAAAGATTAAGAAGAAGGAGGCTCACAAGAAGCCTTTGACCCGGAAGGAACAGCGGAAACAAAAAGTTGAGCTCAAGAAAGAAAACAAACGCCTGTACCACGCCGGAAAGACTAATGGAACCCAGCGCGTGGTAGCTGCAGCGGAGGCAGCCTCGGCAGCTCGGCAAACGAGTAAAAAACCAAAAAAGAAACCGAAGAAACCCAAAGTAAATCCAGAGGAGATTCCCAAGGAGCAGCTGCTGTCTGGGGACGTGCCCTCCGATGAGGACGAATCGATAGCCTCCGACTTTAGTGATGAGGAGATCGACGCGTTGCTACCGAAGAAACCGAAAGTGGAGACCTATGAGCCTTTGGGGAAAACTGCCAAGATCCTGAAGGGAGGAATTCAGCGGCAGGACGAAACAGAGGTCAGGAGGAAGGAGCTCCGCCAGCAGAAGGAGTTGGAGAGCAAATCCAAGAAGCAGAGGCTCAAGCAGCTGCGTTTGGAAAACGTGGAGGAGGATCGTGAAATTTCCAAACTGGAGAAGAAACTCAAGCTGAACAAAAGCAAGGACAAGAACCGCCTGGTCCGGAAGATGTTCAATGATGGCTTGGATTACCTTCTGGACTTTGTCCTAGACGACGAGGAGGAAAAGCGAAAGTGGGAGGAGAAGCAGGAGCGGAAGCGCAAACTGAAAGAGGATCAGGAGAAGGAGGAGTCTGGCATGTGGAGTGACGAGGAGGATGGAGAAGATAATGAAGGTAATGAAGGGGACAACTTTGACGGATCTGAGGCTTCAGAAGATGAGAGCGAAGGGGACCTTAGTGGGGAGGAGGATGAGGAGGAGCAGAGCGAGAATTCAGACCAAGAAGAGGAAGCCCAAGGTAAGTGAATCCGCAGAACCATATAGTCTTTAATTAATCTCGACCTTGCACACCACAGTCAAGGAGGACATCTATGGACGGAAACGCGATGCTGAGGGAAACATCCTGCCCGATCCCGTGGAACAGGAGGCCTCTGCCGCCGGTCAGAAGTATATACCTCCCCACCAACGGGCTCTGATGGCCGCCAGTGCTGGATCCAACGAGAAGCAGGCCGAGATCTTGGCTCGATTGCAGAAGCAGTGCAAAGGTCTGTTGAACCGATTGTCGGAGGCGAATCTTCACAAGATTGCTGCTGGGATCGAGACGCTCTATATGAAGAACTCCCGCTACAATATGAACGAAACTCTGACAAAGTTGCTCCATGAAGCGCTGCTGGGCTCCACAAAAACCAACGAGCGCATGGTGCAGGAGCACATGGTGCTTCTGGCCTATCTTCATGCTCAGATCGGCAGCGAAATCGGGGCCCATTTCCTGCAGACTTTCGTGGAGCTGTTCGATGGCTACGTGAAGGAGATGTCCACTTTCCAAGTGGAAGACAAGCGGTTGAATAATCTAGTCCTCATACTTTGCTACATGTACCTCTTCCGCATTTACGAACTGAGCCTCCTAATGGAGCTGATCGGGCGCTTATCGGATAACCTTTGCGAGAAGAGTGTCGAGTGCCTTTTGCTAATCTTGCAGTCCATTGGCTTCCGCCTCCGCAAAGATGATCCTCTTGCCTTCAAGACAATGATGCAAAAGGTGCAGTCGCAGATTTCCACAGCTCCTTTGGAACTCAAAGAGAATCCCCGCCTGCGCTTCATGGTGGACATTCTCAATGCGGTTAAAAACAACAACACACAGAAGCTACCTCAGTACGACCCAGAGCTGGCGGAGAATCTTCGCAAGCGCCTGAAAGCCATGTTGAAGAACGATCGCTATGTAGTTACCCTGAACATAACCCTGGAAGATCTTCTGCGAGCGGACAAAGTGGGTAAATGGTGGGTCGTGGGCTCCGCCTGGACTGGGAACCTCAACGAAATGGGCACTGCTAAGCAAAAGCCTGAGGACCAATCCAAGTCATCGAGCAGTGGATTCGCGGATAAGATGCTGGAGCTGGCCAAAAAGCAGCAGATGAACACCGCCGAGAGGCGCAACATTTTCTGCATTGTTATGAGCGCCGCCGACTACGTGGATGCTTTTGAGAAGATTCTGCACTTGGCTCTCAAGGATCAGCGCTCGGTGGCCTATGTGATAATCCACTGCGCTCTGAATGAGAAGAAGGTCAATCCCTATTACGCCCACTTGGCCCTAAAGTTCTGCCAGTTTAACCGAAAGTATCAGCTGGCTTTCCAGTTCGCCAGCTGGGACAGGATCAATGACATCGAGTCCCTGGGCAAGCCACAGATCCGCAACCTTGCCAGCTTTCTGCAACAGGTGATACTGTCTGGCGGCTTGCAACTCTCAGTGCTTAAGGTGGTGGACTTTATGCAGCTGGACAAGCTCAGCTTTTACTTCATGAAGGAGGTGATGCTGCGTCTGCTTTTGTCCCAGAATGAACAAGAGGTCTTCCAGGCATTCGAGCGGGTGGCTAAGAACTCGAAGCTCCAGCAGTTCAAACAGAGTATAAGGCTTTTCCTGCAGCACTTCCTGCTTCAGCCGGAGCAGCTGGCCAAGCTGAAGCTGGAGGAGGAGCAGCAGAAGTTGCTCGAACAGCGGGTGGATCATCTCGACAAGCTACTGGCTTACGTCGACTTGTAGATTCTTAAAAAATAAAGAACCCATTTTAGTTTTAATTTTAATGATTTAAAAAAAGGCGCTTCAGGATGTAATTCTAGAAAACTATTCCTACTAATAGACTTAGTGCTATTAATTAATCGAAACTCTGGAGAAGATCTCTGGCTCGTTGGTAGAGCGTTGACTCGATAAGTTTCTGCCTCTCGGACTCATCCTCTAGCTTTTCGCACTGTTTGTCCAGTTTTTCGATCTCCTCTTCGGCAAGCTTGCTGATTTTCGCGCGCGCCGCTCCCTGAGAACTGGCCAAGTACTCCAGGGCCGTGGGCCACAGATCGGCGTCTAGTTTCTCCTCATCGAAGGCCGTTTGCTGAATGGAAATCTGCCGCAGTTTGGTGAATTTCCACTCCTCCCTGGACTGCTTCCACTTCAGAAGGTACTCCTTGTTCAGTTCGGACTCCTTATTGGAATTCTGTGCTCGTTGAGCCTCCAGGCGTTGCTGGTGCTTCTGCTTCTTTTTCTGGCGCACAGTAACTATGGCTTTTGTGTTCTCTGGCCGAGCCGCTTCTCGAAGCTGTTCGGCAGTGGGTAGATTGTCTCCGTCCTCGCCCTCCGATTCAGGCTCCTGTTTGCCTCGTTTCTCCGGGGCGGTCTCTGTCGCTCCTGAAGCATGTTTTCTTTTTAAAGCCTTGGCTGAAGCCTTTTTCCGGTCATCAGTAGTGTCCTCCTGAGGTTCAGCCGATTTTTTACTACGCTTCTTCAAGACCGGTGTCTCAGACGCATCCTGGCGCCTTTTGGAAGGTTTATCTGATAATAATCAACTTGTTGAGTAGCTGCAGAGTTTTAAAAGTTTTTAAACTGACCTGTAGAAGCCACCTCTGGCTCCAGGATTAGACTTTTTGTGGCCACCTCGTCGTCGCTCCCGGTGGAGGAAACATGTGCCTGCTCGTGCTTCCGTTTCTTGCCCTTTCGTTTATCCGATTTCTCCTGCTCCGAGCGCGCCATATCAACAAGTCCCGTAATATAAAACCTCCCACACAGAGATAACTCTAATGTTGTAAATAAACAAACACGTTCAACTTTAAAAGATGAGATATTCAAAAAATAATATATCTGCCAACTGAAATTCACATTTTATTTTGGTTTTCGATTACACTTTACAGCACTGTTAACTGATAACAGCTGTTTCGTGCATTTCGATATCTATCAATATATCGATATTCTTGGGGCTAATGTTTGTCAACACTTTCTATGTTGTAGTGTTTTTAGCAAAAGCGTCAACGGTCTTAGTTAATAAATATGTTTATGTAGTGTTTAATTGAAAAAGATTTAATTAAAAACGCGAGAGTGCTGTCTTAAAGCTTGTTAAGGGAAATTTAGAGAACGTCAGGTAAGTGCGTCGATTTGTAAACTAAAAGATAGCGTCATTATGGAGCGGCAACAACAAAGCCTCCCAACCGGCAATGCAATGTTTATTCGCGCGCGTATCTGTGTGTGTGTTATGCGAAGGTGTCGTGCAGCCCCAACTTTGCTGGAGGAGTCGCGTCATCTCGGAAGTGGGTGGAGGATGTGTGGCGGTGCCGGAGGTGGGAGGAAATCGGAACAGCTGTTGCGCGTTAAGGACCAGGAGAGGTGTCGAGGAATCCCAGCTGTTTTCTTGTCAAGGTGAGCTTGCGCGACAATTAGCATGTGCCGTTACAAGTGCATGCAAGTACAGTTACATTTAATACCCTAGTTTAATTATTTTTAGTTTTTTTAGATTAGTTTTGATAGAGCTAGAAGAGTCCTCTCTCTCCTTGATAATCCTAAGAGTCCTCCGAGAGTCCGAGAATGGGATAAGCCAACCAGCCACCCCAATTGGACAATATTTCACTTTCATCCACTGGACGCCGGCGCGCCGAGCCCTGCAGAATATGTTGTAAACAAAATACTCAATTAGATGTTGAGTCGTTTTCCGGTCGTGGCAAAAATAGCATTTCTTTTCTGAGTTTTCCCACTTTTCTGAGAGAAAAGCCTCCCTCCCACTCGGCGGAGAACTCGCCTCAGAAAATTGCTGGCCATTGATTCCGATTCCGATTCCGTCGGTCATTCAGTTCTGTTTCGGTTGGGTTCTTGTGCGCATCGTCTCGCGCTTTCCGATTCGCGTTTTTCCCCAATTTTCCGCCGTGGCTTTTTGGTGGCTTTTCTCACGTTTCTCGATTAATCACAGTAGCGATTTCCTTCGAAATATCTCGCTTAATTCCTAAAATATTTAAAGTGATGGAAACTGAAGCGAATATTAGACTCATATCTTTGGAATTCCAAGCGGGTGTCGGTATCTTTACTTGCTAATTGGATTGTCGACGACACAAGCCTGTCACAACAATATAGCAACGACTCCGGTTAACTTCTCCGGTTGGTTCCGCGTGTGTGTCCCTCCCCGGTGTAGGGCCAACAGTAATCAATAGTTGCATTTGTTTTGTGTGTTTTCGCGCGTTTTACTTTCTAACTCGAACGAGGCGACCCCCACTCGGCGCCTCGAACTCTTAACCACAAAGTGGTTTGGTGGCTGTTTCTGTGACAACGTCAGCGGCCTAAACAAACGGTCGACTCCCCACTCCCCAGCGTAGACTAAGGGCCACAAATATCACCCCGTTGAAGCGGCTAGTTTCTTGTTCTGAAATGGGAATGCTCGGCATCTAAATGTTTGACAGTACGCGCAATAAGTGTAAGTACTCTAGCTGAAATATAATAATTAATTTCAATAATATTCCCCATATTTTTCCGCTGTGCCATTAACTTGTTTTGTTTACAAACATTTCGGCACATCCGCCTGAATTTTACACCTTCGAGGTGTAGAGGTGTGGCCGAGGTCCATCATGATTCCGAATCTGTATGTACTCTGAACTTGTATCTATCTTGGAAGTCGCATCTTCAGAAATCTATTCTCTGTGTGTGTGAGCTTTCAATAGTTTTTCTCTAAAATTGGATCAGTTCGTCGACAATTAAGGCGGCCTCCCAAAAATAAGATACAATATCTTGTGTGTATTCCAACTAAGTTATTTGGTAGATCTTGTATGAATGGGTGGTTCTACCTATTGGATTCCCATTGAATGAAGAATCTTTAAGTGATTTTTTTTTAATATTTTAACTTTTTAAAGCCTACCTACCATATGTGTAGAAATGTACCTAGAAATGCCTTACATTTTTGCTTTGCTTTGGTGCTTTGCGGTGCTTGTATCTCGTAAAAGTATCTTTTGAGCACAAATGTCAAATATTGCTTTTTAAGGGTCACCGCCTAAACATGTTCGCTCTTTACATATTTATTTTCAATGTTGTCTACGCTGCATGCCTCGGAAACTTGGCCACCAAAACCTTTAGTTTTTTTTTCTATTTCTCTGTTTTGGCAAAAAGCCGGCACGGGGGTTGGTTGGATCGTTGAGTCATTTCTACATATAAGGGTTGTCCAGCCAGTGAGTATCCAGTACCTAAGGGGGAAGAAAATGAGTTTATTTCCTCGCAATAGCTTATAGCTGATTCTGATGAGAGTAGGCTGATCAAAAACCATTAGTCTGATTTGATTTTGCGGATTCATAGTCTGTTCAGATTTCTGTTCTCTTTTCCATCGCGAATTGACGTCAAATTATTTATGCAGCCCATGGTCTGTTTTGGTTTATATATTCTCTATAGGTATGGTTTTGAGTGTGTGTAGTATTTTGATTTCTATACAGGGAAATTAAAGGCCATCCTCATTCGTAATGCAACCCAGGTGCTACTATGTGATGTCCGACTTTGCCAAATACCTGAGGAGCGTCGGGGGCGTCACTTCTGATTTTTAATGCCTTTTCTTTATCATTATAGTGCCATTTTCGTTAAAATATCGGCTTAAATGGCGTCGCCCCGACACGCGCACTTCCGTCACCAAACCAAATAATAACCAAAATGTTTTCAGAGAAAATCCCCAAAAAAATCACAAAATAAAACGATCAGCATAGATATTGTTTGCTTTTTTCGCAGACAGAGTAACGACATGGCGGAGCAAGTGCTAAAATAAATTGTGACAGATTGTTGGCGGAATACAGATATTCAATTGCTGTTTGGAATCTTTTTTCTTTTTAAGATGCCTCGTTAAAATATGAAAAATGGACCAGCCAAGACATAAGACAACATTTACAAAAATTAATGAAATAATTGAAGATTCTTTTCAGAAAAAGAAACTGGTTATGAACTGTAGATATTTAAGATAGTATTTGTATATTATTATTAGAGATAACTACAAAGATATCTAATAAATACTCTTGTTTTTTTGAAAGAAAATAATATATATTTTCTCCTCTAACAAATTCCAAGACATTTATTTACTAGAACCCGTCGCACATAGAATTGAAAAACAACAAAAGGCACAAAATTTTCTAAATAGAATCCCCAAAATAAAATCAAATCTGACGACATCGCTGGTATATAGTATAATACATCTCCGGATAGCCTTGGGGGAGTGTTGCAAAAAAATAAAACGTTTTCAAGTCAGTCCCATTTGTCCATAACGTGACCCTGAAAACAATCCTCTTTCGATTCGTATTTCCAACTGGGTCAATAAATATAGAGGCATATGCGTTGACTCAATATCGCAGCCGGGAACGGGGTCAGGAAAAGATAGGCCACCCAAGGAGCTATGTAGCTTACATGGCAACCGAACCCTGATAATCAATCCAATTAAAACAATTGCCAGGGACAACCGGCGGGTGTAGAAGCTCAATGCGTTTTGCATTGCGTGTGATTTGGGTTGGCCCTAATGGGTGCCAATAGTTGTACCTACCAGATTGGAAACCTATCTATAGATCGGTCGATAAACGCTTTTCTTTCGACCGGAAAGTGAAAGTCCATGTGCGTCGAGGCAGGCAATTTAATGTGCGTTTCTGTTCATTAATCTTTCTTTTTTTGGGCTTTAGCTCGTTTTTTGCGATAATGTTTTGATTGTTTTGCTCCATGTGCGGTTGCTGGACTTTCGATTTGATTGATTTGGCTGGCCTGGTCGGGTCTGGTCTGTCTTGGCGAAATCCAAACGATATTATCTTCATTCTGCGGTTGGCCTAAAATTAGCATGGCCTGACATGAGGAGGCTATTATCACCATGCTGAAGACTTCTGAAGTTTGAAGAGTTAATGATCTGATGATCTATTAGTTTGTTTTTTAAAAGACTAGACTAGTTCTAATAGTTTAACCGTCTTTTGAGTCTTTTTTTGAGGTATAATCACCACCAATTGTCTGTAACCCAATTCGAGCTTGGCATTTCATTCAAGTTCACTCACAAACTCGTTTCGCATTTCGATGTGTCTGCCATAAGTCGTGCGTGGGCTGGAAAATTGCTTCGCGATCCATCTAAAGGGTGGAACCCAACAAGGCATTTCCATAAACTCGAGAGAGCCTTGTGTGCAACGGCGTGTAATTTGAATGAAAGAATGGTTATTATAACATTTGCATATAAGTTGGCAATTAATTTGCAAGAAACCCCTACCCTGAGTGGCACACCTCGGCCCGAGATCGGCTTGCAACTGGCAAGGATTGGCCATGGAATGGATGTCGGGCGGGATTATCGTCCGTCATAGGCATTAGCATAAAATAGGCAAACAAATTTCTCGAGCTACGTCTAACCCAATACGTGCCAACTCTATGGAATTCTTTCACATGTATCCGTATCCCCAATATATGTACATATATGTAGTTTTTTCACAACTCTGTCTAAGCAAACAAAAAATATGCTGGCATCGGCGATCGTAGCACGTGAGCATTTTACAAATGAACCAAAAAAAAAATAACCACATAGCCCACCTCAAGCAACCTCAACCACATGAGCTACGAGATTTCATAAAAACACATGAGAAGGGATCGTAAAAAAATTAAAATAAAAACCAGAAAACAACCTCATAGGTTGCTGGGGTTGGGGATGTTTTTCTTTCTGGAATTTCAAAACGCAATATACACTGTCATGTTATCTTTTTGTATCGATGCGTAGGTTGGGTGGGTGGGGTCTGATGGAAAGAGGATGGTGTGGGGACCTATAGAGGGAATAGGTGACTAGGGATTACCTTTAGGTACTTCTCTTGCCTATAGATCTTAGTTCTGGACATGCTATTTAGACTACTAATCGGCTACGACCTGGATAAATATAGATAGTCTTCTAGATGTTAACCGATCGATTAAGTTTATGCACAGACCTATGATTTATGCCGCCTGGGAGTGGCCCCTCAATTGGGTGGGTGCAGTAGCAGTAGCTGTTGCCCAAGCCCAATCTCCAAGAATTTCTTAATGGCCAGTTGGTGGCCTGTTACGTGACCACCTGGATACAACAAAGTACGTTTTCTTTTTTAACTTAAACATCCAATGCATTGCGAAAGCGAAAAACGAAAGTGCCAAGGCGGTGGAAGATTGTTGCTGGGTTGCTCCTTGGAGCAATCGGGTCCCTCCACCCAACTGACCGGTCGATTGCCGCATTGCATCATCTTTCACATCTCATATTTCCCCCTAGCCAAGTCGTCCGACCGGCCGTAAATACCAAATATAATTGTTTAACTGTCCATAAAAATAAGAAACATAAAAGGAGACCCTTTTTGTCCGCCGACGTCCATTGAACTTGGCTTGGAGTTGGAGTTGGCGCTATACTGAAAGAGCTGTCTCTGAACTAACAGCCTCAACAAAATAATTTCACACCAATGTGTCTGTATGTGGAATCTCTCGGATGCGGATACCTGACAGTGTCCCATCCATCAATCGGTGGAGTGATTGCGTCACAGGTCAGCAGCAGGTGTCTGAAATAGAGGGTGGAACTCGTAGGCGTGGTGCCAGCTGATTAGGGCATCTTCGTGGGAACTCTAGGGACTCTAGAGACTCCAGGAAGTATCTTGATCTCTAGCTAGCTAGTACACTCGAAAATTAAGCAAACTCTATTACAAGACACTGTCGTTGGCCACATTCCTGAGCACTAACTGCGTTTGGTTGCAACCACAAAGTCTGTCGCCATAAAGCAATCGTTAAACCTCAATGGAGAAACTTGATTTATGGCTGAAATTGCAGATATTTGCTATCTCGCAGGCACTCTCACTCTCAGTTCGAGATACATTTGGAAAAATGCATGCCAGCGGAAGTTGCTTAATCATTTCCACGCATATCATATCGCCATGAGGGTATTTCTTCCTTTTTTTTTTAAAGGAACAATAAAAAAGGAAGTCATTGCGTAAGTCAATAAAAACAAAATTGATTTGTTTGTTTAGGACTTTTTCTTGCAGAGGTGGTTGCATAATCCTGAGGCCCCTCAGGAGGCAAGGAAGTGCCTCAGAAAAATGGAGCCATTAGCATGTGCATGCCAATATCGAGACCTGTAATGGATTTCCCAATCAATTCCCAATGATTATGGTTACCAGTCATTTGCAACATGGCGCGACCATCCAAATTATTGGCCCATTTGGTCAGGCGGCGAAAAAGTATATACAGACACTTGAGCAGCCGTGAGATACTCGACGAGCCTCCTTGATTATCGGACCTGCATCTCCCAATCCCCGACTCTGAATCTTCTGCCACTACCTGACCCCTTGTCGCTCCTAACGATCTTTAACCTGACCAGCCAGCCCAGTCTGTGTGCAGGTCTTTTGTGTTGTTATTGATCGCGGAGTACTACACTGTTGAGTATCTTTGTATCTGGCGGATGCCTGTCTGACGACAATGAGTGGTAGAAGATGTTGGCCTGGCTCATTTGCAAATCGGCTGGGTAATCAGACGCTTTATGGTAGGGTTGTCAATTAGTCGCTGGCTTCCATCTCACCTCTGCATCCAGCCACTGCGTGACCATTCAACCTGCATTTCCCTGCTTGAAGTGAAAGTGGAAATGTTTATCTCGCAAAGGAGCGTTCAATGAACTCCCAGACCTACACCTCCGAGGCCAGACTCTGCGAAAAAGTATAATGGCTTGTATTTTGCTTCTTGGCTGTCCGCCAATACAGAACTAATTGAAGATTTCATATCGCATCCTTTATGGCTTCGCAACTCGTCCCCATCTCTAGAGTGTCCAGCCGGGTCCTAGAGTAAAGCAGACAATTTATGATACACATTAAATGCATGGAAATTATGATGAATGCGAGGCGAAATTTATGTTGATGACATGCCCAACAAAAGAGCTTCAATCCGCCCAGGACCGCCTCCTTCTCCTCCTCCTCCTGCTCCTCCAGGGCAGCTCCAATCAAGGCCCAGACGATCCACAGACAAAACAACTATCGAGTTGGCTCTGGCTCTGGGTCTCAAGATCGCGACTGCCTCTTCCTCGCCTTACCCTTTATTGTTGGAGGAGTAAGATGGAGTTGGAGCTGGAGCTGGCCTGCCTCTAGCCGAAAGTTGTTGCGAATTTAAAATGGAAATTGCAACTTTTTTGCTCCGCCACCGACTTTTTCCCTCTTGTTTCACTTTCGTTTGCCTGATGGCAGGTTTTTTTCGATTTTGCATTTTTCGGCTTTTTCGATGGTGCATTTATCACGGTGCCACACATTTGTGCCACAAGCTGCCACAAGAAAGGCAAATTCCGATTTGCAAGCCCATTTCTAGGCTGCTTGATCGCGAGTTATGAAACTTTTCGCAACTCTTGTGGCTTTCCTGTTTTTCTTTATTTTAGTTACGCACTTCTCGCCTTGAGGCGGCGGCGGGTTCGTTCGGTGGGTCTCTCGGCCGATCAGATTAATTATTATGGTATCGTTTTTTTTGCTCACTGCAATTTTTTAGCTTTTATTTTTTAAAGCTTGCCGGCGAACCTGTTGCTGCCAATGCGATCCACAGCTAGGAACGGGGGGATACACATTGTTGGGCCTTTTTGGGGGCAAGAGTGGGGGCCAGGAGATGAAAGTGTAAGAGTCTCTTTCTCAGTAAGAGTCCACATCAGTTATACTACGACCGCGCCTCAATAGCTCACCTATTTAAACCATTTAGCTTTCATTAAGACCAATTTCTGCCCCCATCAGCCTAGAATAATCAACAAATTAACTAAATTCTTTGTGGGCGCCCTCTCCCAACCCGAATAGTTCGAATTCCCAAGTTGTGACAGCGAAAAAATGTCCAAGCTATTCACGTTTCAAGTGCAGCCCCCAAGATTCTTGGGGCATAGCGGCAGTGGAACGCCCAACCTGTCCATGGCGAGTGCGGTGGAACATGTTTGAAGCGAACATCCTCATAATGAGGTTGCATGGAATCCGTCAGATACAATCCATGACAAGCATTCTAGCTATGTTTAGCTATTAAAATACAGATAGATCTCTAAAGAAAGGTATATTATTCTTTAATAAGACCTTTATAAGTCTTATACTCTCATCTAACATCTCTTCAAAGCTTCACTACTTTTTTTTAGAATTTAAAAACCTCAACCTTTAGCCATTTCCAGCTGTTTTTTTGTGCCATCACTTTGTGGTATTCGTCAGATACAATCCACAAACAGCTCGGCCGTGCCAAGCCATCGGATTGTATTTCAGTTCGCGCTCAACTCACAGACCCGACGGTCATGCAAACGATAATTCAAGATTTGTATTAAAAAATAAACAATAATACAACTAAAATGCACTAAACCACAACTAATTAACCCCACGAACTGTATATAATTGTGTAAATAAAAGTCCTCGAACCTGTAGCAGCTCTGAAACCAGAGCGCCTGCGTGAACTTCACAGTGTACTTGTAGCTTGTAGCTTGTATCTTATAGCCCAAGTTCCAATAGATTGAGATATTTGTTTGATCGATTTTGTGCGAGAATACCTAGTGAAGGCATTTTCGGTTGCCACTAAACGGCTATTACCATGGCGAGGAAAGTGTGTTAACGAACCACCAGCTGCCACCCCACATGGGACTCTCTTGAGAACAGCAACCCCCTTCGATCGGAAAACCTACCACAATTAATGCAAAAAAAAATACTGCACTTCCCCTCGGTTGAAGTTTAAAGTTTTCGTTTCGTTTTCGTTATTTAAAACGCGCTGCTGACTAATTGCCTTTATATAGCCCGGCTATATAAGCTCTACAATAAGACACGGCCGAAACCCAAAACCCTCTTGGTTTTTTTTTATTTCCAACTGGAGCCAATGCTGGAAAGTGCTTCGCAACGAGTGAAGTTCAACATTTCTGCAGCAAAATATAAAAAAAAGTAGAAAACGTTTGGTTTTCAATTTATTTTCATCAAGTGTCGAGAAAGTCGAGAACGTTTGGTTTTTGGTTTTGGTTTTTAATTGAACTCAATTGCACTAGACTCGAAACGAATTCGACCAATAAAAAAAAGAAGTGAACTGCATTCGAGAAGTAGAGCAAATCCATAACAACATCATCAGAATCTCGACCGATGCCGCTGCATAATTAGCATTCGATGGTCGAGAAGAGGAGCAGCTGAGCAGCAGAAACCCGAAGAAACAACAAGATAAACGCCAGTAGAATGTATCTCATACAGGTGAGACCAACCGCTACACAAACCCCCGTCGTAATTGAGTGTTTGCTCTTACTTATCACATTCATTTGCCCAAAGTTTGAATTACAAATGCATCTGTGTATCTCTTGGAGGCAAACAGACACCCAGCGGGGCCTGAAAGAGATCTTCATTTAAGCGTTTTTTAATTGTCTGCCAGCTGAGATTTTTTCTTTAGCCACTTTTGGACGTGCGTGCCTCTTGCTGGCGTATATAATTTGTTTAATTTGTGGATAATTTATCTTTCCACTTGCTGGCTGTGGTGGCTAGGGGAGTGAGTGAGGGTTTACTGGAGCAGGTGGCTCATTACTGAACTCTGAACTTGAAACGGTGTTGCGAGATTAGAGCCTCAAAAGGGGGGCCTTGGAGATTTCAATCACATTTATAGTTTTAGTATTCAAGCCTTTGTATGTTGTATCTGGAAACCTTTGGGAATACGCTATAAAAAGAAAAGAAAAATGTCTGAAACCTCAAATACCCCAAAAACAGTCTTACCAACTGTTGTCGAAGAAGTCGAGGATGATATCTCAGATACCTCAGATAACTCAAATACCTCAGAAACACTATTTCCAACTGAAGAAGTCGAGGATGATATCTCAGATACCTCAAATACCTCTGAAACTCTCTTGGCAACTGAAGAAGTTGAGGATGATACCTCGGATACCTCAAGCAGTTCAGAAACACTCTCGACAACTGAAGAAGTCGAGGATGATATCTCGGATACCTCAGTTACCCCAGAAAAACTCTCACAAACTGAAGTAGTCAAGGATGAAATCTTCCTTATGCCCGGGACTAAAACACAGAATCAGTCGGATTTTAAGCTGACCGTGCTGCACGCCCTAGCCGATTTGTTGAATACTGGTCTAAGCCGCGAGACCCTGAAGATCTGCGTAGAATTGATAAAAGCAGGAGTGAATGCCAAGGACCTGGCCAAAGTTATCATAATGATTAGGAGCGAGATCAAGGAAGAGACTCCCAGTGAGGATTTGCAGTCTGAGGAACATAAAGGTCTGGCACTCGCTATTGAGAATGCCTTGAAAAATTCCAAACCGAAAGATGATAAAGCGTAGTCTCTTGTTAAAATATTTATCGTTGAAATTTTGTCCAAATTAAAGTTATTGTTATTCCCAGTTATTGGTCAAGTTTCAGCATGGGCCTCATGTTTCGCAATTTCCTAGCTCGGAAAATGATGATACAGCAGTTGGCGGCATGGCTGTTATTGGATATTTCGGGGTAGAGGCACCAGAAGAGTCAGCTTCGAGGCCATACTTTGCCAGAACCATAGCTGGGAAGATGTTCTCCCCCTAAGTCTTTCCAACTTCCATTGTGGGCATCCATCGCAGTCGCCGGTTCTTCCGGAGCACCGTGAAAGTTCCCGCCATAATGATGAACAGTTGCACTACTTTGGCCTGGTAGTAGGTCTAGAAATGCAAAAACTAAGTACTTTATCTACAGTAAGAACCCCATGCTGAATCTTGCCTGTTTGATGTAGATGGGCAGCGGAATGTGCGCCCGATAGGAGTGATAGTCCAATGCCCGAAAGAGCCAGTATCCCGGCCAGGCTCCCAGACTGGCGCAGAGGAAGGGAGCTGACGCTGTGAAACCACTTTCGAAGGGCTCGGATTCGACCATCAGGCGCATTTCCTCGCCCAGATTAGGCACGGGCGGTGGTGGAGTCGGACTGGTCTCTGGCCTGGACTTGCTGAACTTCTGGGCCTTCTCCTTCACACTGCCCACAAAATCCTGGAGGCCCATCGTTAGCTGGGTTCAAAAGGCAGGGAGCCGGAATTTAGAATCAGGTGTGGAGCTGACAAGTGTCAGAGTGGAAGAGTTTGTCAAGGCTTACCCTGGGCAAGAGGAACCGATTCGGGAGTGGGATTGGCTATGTCGTGATCCATTTTATTTATCTGTAGGGGGACCTGGGCAGCTGACCGGTTCATGGAGACCGCAAGGAGACCAGTGGCCAAAATGCAAAACTGCATCGCCTTGGCCTGCTGATAGGTCTGTCGAGGGGAGAGCTATCAGCCAGGCTATCATTTAAAGACTATCTATCATACCCTATGGATGTAGACACCCAGTTTCTCGGAGTTCCTCTTGAACTGCCAGTTGTAGCCGCGCCAGAGCCAAAAGGTCGGCCAGGAGAGGAAGCTCAACTCCAGGTAGGGCAGCACCTCCATGAATCTCTTGGAGAACCCCTTGGGAGCGTTTCTGTCCACGAAATTGATAAACTCCATCTGGTAGTCTATGTCCAAGGGGGCCTTCTTCTGCTGCTCCTCCTTGAGCTGCCGGTCCCGTCGGTGCCGGTTCGAAGGTGCCTCCCTCGGATATAGTGGGTCCTTTTCTTGGGGCGACGGACTCGACCACTTTGGGTACAGTGAAGGGTCGATTTGTGGTTCGGTAGGCAGCCTAATGCCCTCGGCATCGGTCCTGGAGCCCTCTTCCGGCTTCAGCTTGGACTGCTGCTGCTGTTGGGGGAACAGTTCCGCAAACTTTTTCCGCAACGTGTCCATAATGGCAGTTCCTGAAAATCAGAGCCTCTTGGCAGCTGCTGGTGACTTGAATTTTATTCAGTTGTTTTGAAGCCAAAAAATGTATGAGGAGAAAAGCTAACTGGGGTTCAGGTTATCCAAAATGCATTCAGAAAAGTTCAAAGACTTGTCTCCGTGGCATAAATTATCACCCGACCGACCCATGCGGGCTTCCATTTGTTTTGTTTTGAAACTAATTTACTCCGGTGTATGGTGTATGGCTCTCTATCTAGGCTTTTGTGGGGGACTGGGGACCACAGTAGCCCCAGAACGAGCTCAATTATGGCTGCTGGTCTGCGGGTGCCAAAAGAGTGGTCGTAGCGGTGTGCTCGAAGTGGGTCAGCCTTGTGCAGCGGTTCGTGCAATTATAAAGTGCATATCTACGGGCCAGGCAGGCCAAGCTCTTGGCTCTTAGTTCTTGGATCTTGGATCTCGGGTCCATTGTGTGTGGTGGCTTGGACAGCAGGTGTCTCCTCAGCTCATTGTGTTTGGCTTTTGTCTTTTGGGTTGAAAATGTGGCTTACCTTCAACGAATAAGACTCTAGCGGTGGCAGGAAGCTGTGCTGTGTTCTATAAACTAGTTTTCGGCTCTGGCCGATCAATGCATTTAATCAACTGAATTACCAAAGTGCCGAAATCCAAAGAATTCCAGAAAGAAACCCCATTTAACGGTGGTTCTACAAAAGCCGGCTTAATGAAGTGAAAATCTTGGAAGATCTTTTGTGGCTTAAAGTTAGTTAGTATGAAAAGAAATTCCCTGATTGGCTGTTGTTCTTCAAGAAGAATCTTTCTCGCCTCAAGTCGATCAATCATCTTTAATATTGACATACAACACTCGCAGCTCTCTCGATTAGATTTTCCATCTCGGAATCGGAATCGTAATCGGAATATTGATCCACTTGCCCAGTTAACTGGCTGAGCGTATCTTTATTACACTTTTCAGTGCTACGGGCCTACGGATGCAAGGCAGCTCAAGCGTTCAGATCTCGAAAACCGCAGGCGGCCGGGAATCGCAGTTGTACGACTTCGCAGATCAGAGTTCTCAAACTACGCTTCTTTGGAGGAGGAGGAGACCCGGCCGGCCAGGCCTACACACAAGAATTCATGGCTGTGGGACCCTTTCGGTTCGAACCGGGGGCTCAATTAACCCAATTCCTATTTGGTAAATGATTTGCAAAAATCGAATCTCAATGGCTGGTTTTGAAAGTCTTTGCGGCCTGTTGTCAAAACACTCGACCATAAATCGCACTCACAATGAAATTTCTTTTTGCCGAAACGCCAACTTGTTTTTTCAGCAATTAGTTGGCTAACGTGGGTGTCGCACCTCACTGGACTATTATTTGGCCCCTCGTGGGAAATGCAGTTTGTAGAGCGGTCATGGTTAAATTGTGTAATCAATTTCATGTGAAAGGTCTGGCGCGGGCGGCAGGTGATGACACTTGAGGTGTCAAGTGCGCCAAATACGTTCAAGACCTGTACCAAAAATGGTTTAATTTCATTAAAGTAACGAGCATTGCCCAATTTTTATAGCGGCTTATAGAGAGCCATATTTCAAGTCCACAATGTGTATTTTCTTTAAAAGCTTTCTTGCTGGAACATCTTAGAATACCTGACTACCTTTGCCTTGACTTGCCATCAGCTATAATCTTGATCTATCCCCTTTGAGCCACCGGCCTTGTCAAGGCGGCCATGAATCTTGAATCTTCCGAAAGCCAATCCCCTCGACATGCCACATCATTCTTATTCTCATCTCTGGCATTATAAAATGCCGCATCACTCGCCGCTAATCTGGACTAACCATCTCAGAGAAGCAGCATGCCGCATACCGCATATACTCCATGCCTCAGACTCAGACTCAGACCCAAAAGCCGAGCATATTACTCAATTTTCATTGCTCAGATTCCAAATATGCGAGGCGGGTCAACAATGATGCCCGTTTGCCCGAAAAAAGGGCAAAACGAAGATGCCACACCAGAGCTAAATAACACACAAACAAAGGCTGCAGTTGACACATTGACAAATGATCTCTGGGGGCAGCCTCGATAAGGCGGCCTCCATGCGAAAGCCCCATACATCAACCAGTCGGCCAGTCGCTGCAGTGACTCTTTCTTTCCAAGATGGAAAAACATGTTCTAAGTAGTGAGGCTCAGTTCTATCAATTCTATCGCTAAAACCTTCGATTCCGTTACTCTGGGTCAACCACTCTGGTCTCTGAAAACTGAGATGGGGACTTCGGAAGAGGCGACTTGATACTGGCATTGATTATTTGCTCTATATACCCCACTCGAGCGGTTGCATGATCCTCAAATTTCTGTCGTCTGTGGTTTTGTGCGGATCGTCTTCAAATCGAATTGGGTTGGGCCGGACCGGGTACAGCCACATGATCTCTACTCACTCGAATTCGAATATTGAAACCTTAAGCCTAAGCTCCATGGAATTTTGTTTATGTCTGGGCGAGGCCTTTGGACTCTGGATAAGTTTTCACTGCGGAATTCCAAACGATACACGCCTTCGAAATAATTCCGCATTCCCCTTCGACATGAAATGTGTATCAATTTAATTATCCAGGTGTCCTGGCTGGGCACGCAATTAATGTCGAGAGAACCCTTTTCGTGCCCAGCCTTTGAACCTTTTTTTTTCAGAAGCGTAGTTTCGGGGTTCTACAAACAAACAATGACACACCCCTGGCCTACCTGAACAGGATTCGGTGATGCTGTAACTCTGTAATTCCTTGGAATGGCCTCGAAAGAATAGGGCATTGAAATAAAAAGTGACTTGGAATCCAAATCCCCATTATGGAGGATTGTTCTCTCTTCCTACCTGTTTTCAGATGTTCTTTGGCCTGATCCCCAAGATGATTTATCTTTGACAGACTCTTTTCATGGGCCATCAGTTTGGATCCCTCTTCGATTTGAATACATTACGATTATGAGACTTATAAGAGGTTTATATGGTTCCTAATACAATCCAGCCAAGCATAACGAGAATCCCATTTGTTAAGGTGTTTGAGGGCGTTGATTCCCAAAACAGTTTCTATATACTATTCGGGGCTTGATAGCCCCCCCAGTTTCAATTAATAGCGGAACTCACGCTCACTGCCTGCCGTTCTAATCTAACTCGATAGACTCCGCGGGGAAAACTTGTTTTACTTTTATTTGCCGCTTTTCCAATAAAATAAAAGTGACTGAGGTCACGAGTCGAGGCAAACACTACACGAGTTGTATCTATATTTAATTTAATCGATGCAAATGCTAGAGAGTCATGAACCAGCTCCCCGATGACCTTCAACTGCCGGCAAAGAAATGCGTTAAAAAACTGACCAGCTAATGGCCATAATTACATTCGATTCAAGCCACAATACACATACTCCCTGTACCAAATTATTGGCTTTGCTTATAATTACCGCACGTGTTTTGGCTGAAAAAGAAATCTCTTATAAAGTGTATGCTGTTGTATGCTGATGTTGATGTGACTTCCATGACACATGTCAGGGGTGGACGGGGTAGGCTCGATTCTCCGTAGCTGACAATGATGAAATGGGCTTTTTATGGCCATGTTTTCACTGACAGAGTATTGTGTAATTGTATAAGGGGGGGTCTGTCCCTCACATTGAATGGCATTTCGAATTGATGTTAGATGTGTACTCCCTCTACGGGTTAGATAAGCGGAAAGTGATCACGAATCATATGCAAAATATTGTGTATTGTCAATAACACTATTCTCGAAGATAGCTTCTAAAATCTATGTCCGCCTGAGAGGCCCTGCCACATAATGTAATCTCTTTACCTTTGAAACCGAGTCTCTTCAGTCAAGTTTGTGGTGATAATGAAATTTATTACGTGATGCTTCCTATCGACAAACAAATCTTGGAGTTGTGTGTAAAAACTCTCATAAAAAGAGGATGGAAAAGTACCAGAAACTTGAGATGGTCTATGATTTCAAATTAAAACTAGTTCTAGAAAAACAACAAAAACCTTGTTGGTGGGCCATTTTATGTAGCAATTTTTCTATTTTATTATATCCCTGCAGAGGACAGGAGAAAACCCCATTTTCAAGGTGTCCCCAAGAAAAATGGACAAAAAATCTAAAAAATATTTTGTCTCAAGATTTTGATGCAGAATGGTGGAGAATCGATCGAGAAATCGTTTAAGGTGCTCCGCTTGAGAATCGGATAAAAATTAGGGAAGATATAGCCATCGCAGTGGGCCTTATAGGAAAAAACCCCATTTTCAAGGGGTCCCATCAGAAAAAATGGACAAAAAATCTAAAAAATATTTTGTGTCAGGATTTTTATGCAGAATGGTGGAGAATCAATCTAGAAATCGTTTAAGGCACTCCGATTGAGATTCGGATGAGAATTGGGAAAGATATAGCCATCACAGTGGGCCCTATAGGGGAAATATAGGGGTCCTATAGGGGTCCCATCAGGAAAAATGGACAAAAAATCTAAAAAATATTTGGTCTCAGATTTTTGATGCAGAATGGTAGAGAATCGATCTAGAAATCGTTTAAGGTACTCCGGTTGAGAATCGGAGCAAGATTGGGGAAGATATAGCCATCACTGTGGGCCCTATAGTGGGAAACCCCATTTTCAAGGGGTCCCATCAGGAAAAATGGACAAAATATCTAAAAAATATTTTGTGTCAGGATATTGATGTAGAATGGTGGAAAATCGATCCAGAAATCGTTTGCGGTACCCCACTTGAGAATCGGATCAGGATTGGCGAAGATATACCCATCACAGTGGACCCTATAGGGAAAAACCCCATTTTCAAGGGTCCCATCAGGAAAAATGGACAAAAAATGTAAAAAATATTTTGTGTCAGGATATTGATGTAGAATGGTGGAGAATCGATCCAGAAATCGTTTGCGGTACCCCACTTGAGAATCGGATCAGGATAGCCATAGCTGCCATATAGAATAAAACCGAAGCGGTATATCACTACCGGTCCCCACAAAGTTGGTTTTTGTTTCTTGTTATTTTATTTTTATTTTTTTCAATTGCCTTGGATAGTAAGTGTAATAGTAATGAAATATCTCAACTTCTCCCTCGTACCAGCTTCAAGTAATTAACAAATCCAATTAAGTTCAATAACAATTAAGTGTGAAAGAGGAAGAAACAGTAATGAGAGAGAATGAAAACAAACAAAATCAGATATTTTCTTTTAATTAGTTCGATTT